GGCATGTTTCAAGGAGGGACCAGTCCTTGGAGGGGGACATCATGCTTGGACGGGTGGAGAGATGGAGAAAGAGAGGGAGACCATCGATGAGATGGATTGATGCAGTGACTGGGGTCATGGGAGTAGGTGTGTTAGAGATAGTGAGATTGGCACAGTATAGAGCAGGTTTCAAGGCTGTTGTGGACTTGCTATGAGTCGCAAGTGACTCAACGGCACATAACAACAACAACAGCAACAACAACGATAGAATGGAGTTTACTCACTTGACGTCACCTAACAACAACCACAAAATACATGTTGATGTGGTTAAACCATGATTCTCAGTGTATATAATTATGTCATGTTATGTCATGTCATTATCCTGTTTTGTGACCTGATGTGACTACCTGTTGTTGAAAGCCACTCAGAGCTGATCCTCAAGCATGTTTTTAGAAGCTTTAAACCTCACAGAATGAGACCACCACCCAAGCAGATATATGCACACCCATGTTTATTGCAGCTTTGTTCACAATAGGAAAGAGTTGGAACAACCTAAGTGCCCATCAACAAACAAATGGATAGAGAAGCTGTTGTATATTCACACAATGGAATATTACGTTGCACTGAAAAACAAGGAACTCAGGAAATAGTATGCAAAATAGGTGACCTTAAAGGACATTACGCTGAGTGAAATATCTCAGTCACAAAAGGACAAATACTGCATAGTGCCACTGTTGTAAAACGGGACTGACATTGGGTTTGGGGGGAGACTGAGAAAGATGGGTTCAATAATGTATACTGCATTGAAACAGATGAGGGAGAGAACGGTTTAAAAGGCTTATGTAGCACACTCATGTTTATCACGGCTTTGTTCACAATAGCAAGGAGTTGGAAACAACCCAGGTTCCCATCAACAAACGAATGGATAGAGAAGCTGTGGAATATTCACACAATGGAATACTACGCTGCACTGAAAAACAAGGAACTCATGCAATATTATTCAAAATGAGTGACCCTGGAGGACATGATGCTGAGTGAAATATCTCAGTCACAAAAGGACAAATACTCTATGGGGCCACTGTTGTAAAATGAGGCTGACATCAGGGTGGGTGTAAGACTGAGAAAAACTGGATAAATTATGTATACTGCATTGAAGTTGATGAGGGAGAGAGCCGTTTAAAAGTAATATATTTTAGGGCATTATGCCTATCATAAGAGTTCAGAATGAGGGTTGCAGAGTGGAGTATACTTGGGGTGGGGGTGCGGGGGTGCGGAGTGATTGTATACCAATGAAGGAGTTTTGCTTTTCAAGGAGAAGAGTGAACTGGGGGGGGGGTGGGAGGGGAGAAAAGTGCAACAATGAATGAATGGAAATCTAAAATCTCTGTAAATGTTCATTGAAATTAATTTTTTAAAAAGGCATCTGTAATTAAGTATTATTGTCATGACAGGAGTCCAGAATGAAGGCTGCATAGTGGAGTGGACTTGGGGGGAGGGATTGTATAACAATGAAAGAATTTTTTCTTTACTTTTCAAAGAGAAGAACAAACTGGAGGCGAGGGGTGGGCAGGGAAAAAAGTGCAACAATGGATGAATGGAAATCCAAAATCTCTGTACCTTTTCATTAAAATTAATAATTTTTTTCATAAAGAGATTGCCCATCTTTCTCCTATGGGAGATTTAAACCCCTTGCTTTGGGGTTGGCATGCAACTCTTTACCACCAGGCCACCAGAGCTCCATTGTTGTGTTGTGCACCTTCAAGTCGGAATCGATCCATAGTTGACCCTCCAGTGGGATTTCACAGACAGTAAATCGCAGGGGAGGAGATTGTCCATTACTATTTTTTTTTCTGGAGGATCAGCTGGTGGTAGGTTCAAACCAGGTTCCTTTGGCATTGCAGCGCCGTTTCTTACCTCTAGGCTACCAGAGTTTCCTAGCACATTGCAAATGCTAACCTTTATGAGGTGAATGGGGAACCTTGGTGGCTTCAAGGATTACACATGGGTCTGCCTATGGAAAGGGTCGGGTTAGCTGTCCACAGGCTTCTCCAAGGGAGAAAAAGGCAGAGCAGCCACTCTTAAAAAAAAAAAAAAAAAAAAAGCTCTGAAAGCTTCTCTTGTGAAATTTCTGAAACCTGAGTTGGAATGGACTAGACAGCAGGGAGTATGATGTTAAGGAGGCAGGATTAGAAGCAGTTCTATTAATGAAGCAGGATGTAATGGAAAGGATTAGGATGTATCTTGAGTCAATCTCTTTTGAGATATGAAAGGGATTAAATAAGAGATGAGATCAGAGGGATCTGACCATCACCAAGAACAATGGCCCTGGTTTGGAGCATAACCTTTGAGTCCCTGCACTGAGAACCGCCTGTGACCAGGAGACACACAGAAAGTCTTCCCCTAGAGCTAGTGCTCTGAATTCGGACTTTTCACCTCCTAAACAAGAAAACGAACTTTTGTTAGTTAAAGTCACCCCCTTGTGGTATCTGTTATAGCAACATTAGAGAACTAAAAGTGTTACAGAGACAAACAAGTAGGAAGAAAGAGAAAGACAGGAGAAAGAGACACGATGACAAAGAGACTCCAGAAGGGAGGCGAGAGAGGAGGAGAGATGCAGAGAAAAGGAGAAACTTCTCTAAAAGGGAAGTGGGAGAGCTCCAGAGACAGCTAAAGCTTGGGTCACAGATTAAGGATTGGGAAGAGATATGATTTTAAACTGAGTGGGGTGTCTCCAGTGCATTGTGCTTGGTTTCAGAGTTTTTGTACCCAACAGCCTTGGACAACACCTCCTGGAGGTAAAATTATTGGCTCAGAGAGGGGGGAGACATTCGACCAAGGATGCACAGCTTGGGCATGTTGGTCTCAGCGTTTGATGTAGCTCTCCTTGACCCCACGATGTCTGTTTGGTTGGCGGCACTGCTCTGCTGGTCCGTGTTCTTGTCTTCATCTTACATGGCCTCGTGAAGACCAGGAAGGTTACAGAAGATGTGGCAGCAAGCTGCCTAGTGTGTGTAACAGAAGGAAGCAGTCCCTCTTTATTTTTTATGATGAATTTTATTATTATTATTAATTTTAATGAAAATTTTCATTCATTCATTGTTGCACTTTTCTCCCTGTCCACCCCTCCCTTCCAGTTTGCTCTTCTCTAAGTAAAAGAAAAATTATTTCATTGTCATACAATCACTCCCCAAGTCCACTCCACTGTGCAACCTTCATTCTGGACTCCTGTGGTGACAATAATACCTAATCATATATCCCTTTTAAACAGTTCTCTCTCTCATCTGTTTCAATGCAGTTTACATTATTTAACCCATCTTTCTCAGTCTTCCCCCAACCCCAATGTCAGTCCTGTTTTACAACAGTGATACTATGTAGTATTTGTCCTTTTGTGACTGAGATATTTCACTCAGCATAATGTCCTCTAGGGTCACCCATTTTGAATAATATTGCATGAGTTCCTTGTTTTTCAGTGCAGCGTAGTATTCCATTGTGTGAATATATCAGAGCTCCTCTATCCATTCTTTGTTGATGGGCACTTAGGTTGTTTCCAGCTCTTTGCTATTGTGAACAAAGCTGCAATAAACATGGGTGTGCATCTATCTGCTTGGGTGGTGGTTATGGTTTCTTTGGGGTATATTCCCAGTAGTGGAATTGCTGGGTCAAATGGTATTTCTATTTCCAACTTTTTGAGAAAGTGCCATACCACCTTCCACAGTGGTTGCACCATTTTACACTCCCACCAACAGTGAATAAGGGTCCCAGTTTCTCCGCAACCTCGCCAGCATTTGTTGTGTGCTGTTCTGTTAAATTTTGCTATTCTTACTGGGGTGAGATGATATCTCATAGTTGTTTTAATCCCTCATTTATTCACTGGACAATCACGGCCGTGGCTCTGAGCAAGAAGATGGTCAAGAGACAGAGATAAGTAAGATTAGGCCTTACCCTAGGGCGTTCCTCCTCTAGGGTGGGGACGAAGGGGGAGGCAGAGAGTCTTAAATCGCTGAGCACCATGAACAGGGGAGGGACAGTGTTCAGAAGGAAGGAGTACAGAAAGAATGTGGAAGGAAGAGAAAACCCAGCTTGGATGAGGAGTCAGAGAGGACTTCATAGAGGAAATACATTCTTGAGGGGTATTTGGGGCACAGTGAGATTCTTTCAGACTCCAGAGCCTTACTGCCTCCTCTCTCAGACCCAGAAGTCCAGTTCCCCAGACCTTTCTTCACTCAGACTCAAGAATTATTAACCTCATCTTTCCTCCCCTTGTCTGGAAGTCCCAGCTCCCAGCTCCTGCTCCCTCAGACCCAGGAGTCTGGACCCTACAACCTCCTCCTCCCTCCGACCCAGGAGCCCAAGCCCTGAGCCCCTCCCACTCTTTGTGAAAGTACCATGGCAACCAGACCTCCTGTCACCCCCCCCCCCTTAGAACCCAGTTTGATGTTTGAAATCATCCGTTTCTAACTGGTCCCTGCAGTGAGACAGGGAGGAACCGAAAGGGCAAGTGGGAAGAGATAAGAGATGGCAGGTGGAGGCCAAAGGGAGTGGAAGAGGCTGTAGTGAGAGGGAGATGGAGAGGAGAAAAGAAACCTGGGGAGGAATGGAGAGAGATGCAGGGAGACCCACAGACGGAGAGAGGGTGGTAGGACTAGAGAGAGACTCCGAAATATGAAGAAAGGGACAGAAGGGAGGAGATTCAGGGGACGAAACTGACGAAGAGAATCACAATGATGCTTCAAGGCAAGAGGGTCAGGGTGGGGAGGAAGAAGGTAGAGAAGACAGAGAGGAGAGTGGAAAGGACTGAAAGAGGAAGGGGCATCGAGGGAAAGAATGAGACCCAGAGAGAAAGGCAGGCAGAGAGGCCGAAAGACAGTGAACTAGAGAGGCGTGAAAGAGGCACCCCTAGACAGGGCGTGTTAGGGGAAGAGAGGGAACACTTTGAAAGAAGAGACTGGGACACACAGGGACTCAGTGAGGTGAGGGGCACCAAGGTCCGTATGTGGTCTCAGCCTCCCCGGTCAGCCATCATGTCATCCAAGGGCTTCCAGGAGACTTCAGCAAGCAGGAGTTGGGAGAAGGAGGCCTCATCGGGGAGAAGGAACTGGGATGATGATGGGTGGCCCAGTCGGAGCCCCGATCCCTTCCTGCCTGAGACATCCTCCGCCCGTCTCTCCAGGATGGAGCCAGAGGTGGAGTCCATGTGCTCCTCCATGGGCAATCCCAGCATGCACAGGGAGGCAGGTAGGGAGTGTGTGTGTGTGTGTGACAGAATACGTCCCTCAAGGGTCTCATTGTACGCCTAAAGGGGCCACTGGTCATCTAAATTGATTATCTCAACTTCCCCAATCAATCAAGTTCGCTACACTGACCCCTAGGACCTTAAACGACATTTCCCATGAGTCTCTGCGGCATGCTCGCCTACCAGGAGGGCCTAGAACTACATTTCCCATGAGCCTCTGGGACCCGTCAAAGTCTTCTGATGCAACTCAACTCAACTCATTGCGGTGGCGTTGGGACCACCGTCCCATGGCTGACTCTCGCTGTTAAGTATCCAAAGCTTTAGTATACCACACTGATTTCTTTGATTTTCCTGGTCTCCTCTACTGAGCTCAGTCAGTATCTTTTCCCAAAGCCATTTCTCTCCCTTGGTGCCCAGCATTGGATAGCCCAACCACACCCTATTCACCTGAAGTGCTATTTCTCTATCACACTCCATTAATCTCTGACTCCATCCTCTTACCCCGACTCACCGCTCTGTCTTTCCTCTCTCTGCTCAGCCTCGGTCACCTCCAGCTCTCTCTCTCTATGGTTCCAGAGGGGTCTTTTTGACACTTAAGAGTTCGTTTCATCTCTCCCTCTGCTCATCACCCATCTTTCAGCCTGGCATTGGAGGTTTTGCATGAGCTGATCCATGCTGACAACGTCAGGATCAAATTTCAGGGCTCCCTGCTGGCACTGTCTGCTCTAGTGCTCTCCATCCATCCATCCATCCATCCATCCATCCATCCATCTACCTATCTATCCACTCATTCAACATTTATTGAAAAATGTCTCAGGGAGGATCCATTTGGCTGCACTTAGTAGAGTATATCATGGACTGCCCAAAGAAACAGTAAATTCATCTTGGAAGCTCCTTAGAAGCACGGATGGGGAGGTTTTGTCTCACTTTGGGCATGGGCTCAGGGGAGCCAGTCCCTGAAGATGGATATCATGATTGGTAAAGTGAAAAAGAGAAAGGCCCTTAATGAGATGGATGATAGGAATAACACACTCAACCAGCAACAATTGTGAGGATGGAGCAGAGCCCAGCAGGGTTTCATTCTGCTGAGCGTTGCATTGTCGTGAGCTGGAATGGGCTCAAGAGCACCTTAATGAATGAGTCCTGGTAGCACAATGGTTAAGTGCTTAGCTGCACTGAAAGGTTAGCAGTTCAAACTCACCCAGCTGCTCTTCTGGTAAAATAACCTGGTGAACTGCTTCTGTTAGGATAACAGCCTGGGAGATGGGGCAGTTCTGCTGTGACAGGAATCAGTAGGAGTTGAAAGGGACTCAACAGCAACCTAACAGCCGTAGAAGTGTAAAAAAAAAAAAAATCAGACTTGTTGTTTTTGTTAAGTGCCCTTGAGTCAAGTATGACTCATAGTGACCCTATGAACAACTCTGAACCCTGTCCTGTTCTGTACCATCCTCACAACTCTTTGCTGTTGTGAACAAAGCCGCAATTAACATGGGTTTGCAGAGTCTCTTCTGACATCTACTCCAGATTTTCCCTTTCTCCTCTGTCTATGTAATGACCTTTTGCTAACTTCATGGATGATATCCCTGGTGTCATCCCACAACTTCCCAGGTCTTCAGTCACTGATGTTCAGTGCTTCAAATGTACTCTCAAGCTATTTTTTTTAAGATTCTTCAAAATTATTGTCTTTTATATCTGTTTATATGCCAAAGTCCTAGACACTGTGTTGCGTTAACATACATTGTGCTTCATGCGTTCCTCCATTCACACTGTGGTTTTGATCAAAAAGGTCACGGTGTTTGTAAAACATAATGAATGGGAATGATAATGTGACCCACAATGTGAATGGAGGAATGCTTGAAACACAATGTATCTAAAGGAAACACAGTGTAGACTACTTTTGTATGTAAATTCAGGTGGGATAGACTCAAGATCATGTCTGGATTCCCAGGAACTTGTTTTAATTTCCTTTGCCCTCAATTTGAACTTGGATGTGAGAAACTGATGGCCTGTTAGTCCGCCTTTGGCCTGGTTTTGACTGCTGATATTGAGCTTCTTCGATGATTCCTGCCATAGATGTAGCCAAACTGACTTGTTTGCAGTGCCTCAGGTGAAGTCCATGTGTAAAGTCACAGTTTGTGATTTTTAAGGAAGGTGTTTGTGATGAATTTACATGGGCCCATGGCCAACACTCTTGGCATCAGCAGCCAGAAAATGAAAAGATATATTTCGATGGGAAAGTCTGCTGTTGGAGACCTCTCTAAAGTACTGAAGAGCAATGATGTCACTCTGGAGACTAAGGTGTGCCTGATACAGGCCATAGTCTTTGCAATCACTTGCTATGCATCAGAGAGCTGGACAATGACTGGGGAGGATAGAAGGAGAATTGATGCCTTTGAGCTGTGGTGCTGGAGAAGAGTATTGACGGTACCATGGACTGCTAAGAAAAGGAACAGGTTCATCCTGAAGAAGGTTAAACCAGGCTTCTCCTTGGAGGCAAGGATTCTGAGGCTTCGTCTGACATACTTTGGTCATGTTGGAAGGAGGGACCAGTCCTTGGAGAAGGACATCATGCACAGGAGAGGAAGACTGTCAATGAGGTGAATTGATTTAGTGACTAGGATAATGGGAGAAGGTGTGTTTGAGACAGTGAGATTGGCACAGAACAGAGCAGGGCTTAGGGCTGTTGTACATGGGTTGCTATAAGTTGCAGGCAACTCAATGGCACATAACAACAACAACATTTGTGATGAGTAAGTAATTGAACATATAAAATTCAGTCTTTTTTTTTCTAGCCTCTTTTCTGTCATCAAACCCATACCTTCCTCCAATGACTATTCCTTCTCCATTGTTTCCAAATTTGCATTCCAGTTACCAGTTATCATTAACATATTTTGATTGCATGTTTGATTAATTTTGAACTGCAAGATTTGGTTAAAAAAATGTCAATTTCTTTCTCTTTGACTTTAGCTGTAAGAATGTATGTTGTTTTTTTTGTTTGTTTTTTAAGAATGTATGTTTTAACAACAGTCATATTAGCTTATTTTCCTTGTGTGCATATGAGTAATGTCCTATCCCTCACAATGTTGTAGCTCAGGATAGAACTTGAAATTGTCTTTTTAACTATGAATGCAACACCATTCTTCTTCTGTTTTTCACTCCCAGCAAAGTACACCACGTGATTGTCTGATTCAAAGTGGCCAAAGCGAGTCCATTTCATCTCACAAATCATTAGAATGTCAATGTATGTGTGTTCCATTTCACTTTTCATAATTTCTAGTTTTTCAACATTCCTGCTTCATACATCACATGTTCCAATTGTTGTTGTTAAGTGCCGTCAAGTCATAGGCGACTTGTAGCAACCCTATGAATGAAAGACCTGGACACTTTTATAACTTTAATCCTTTCTCCAGGTTCATAGGGTTTCTGGAGGCAAGCTCTTTTGGAAGTGGATGCCACTCCTGCTTCCAAGCTTGTTTTAATCGGGGAGCTCCACCAAACACTGTCCACCACGGGTAACCATTCTCGCGTTTGACACATCAGTGTCACAGTGTTCAGCTTCACAGCCACCACGAGTTACCTCTGTAGAGAAAGAGGACAGACTAAGGCTATACGACCTTGCAGAATGTTTGAACAAAAACAATTAAAAACAGGATTTTTTTTAGTGTTCAATGTGCCAATTTTATTATTTCTTAAATATTTTATTGATTTGCATACACTCATTCATAGACATTGCATTTCTTTCTGGTATGATTTACACAATCATTCATTTACATTGTTTTATATCATTAGTTACTATTGATTTATGCCTTTTAGTACTTTTATCTCTGAAAGTCTCCATTGTATCTTTCTTTACCCCTCCATCTGCCCACTAACAAAAGCTATTCCTGGTGATTTTCCCCCTCCTCTTTTTCTGGCCCTCTTCTCCCCTTCTCCTTCCTCCTTCCAATGTTTATACATATTTTGCTCAATTACCTTCTTATTTTCACAGTAGAAATCTTATCTAGTGTTTTGTCCTTTTGTGACTGAGTTATTTCACTCAGTAGTTCTCTCTAGACTCTCTCATCTTGTATCATATTTTACAAATACTTTGTTATTCGTCAGTGAGGCATATAATTCCATTGAATAAAAAAACCACTGTTTTCTCTGCCTTTTTTATTTTTGTTGTTGTTGTTGATGGCAAAAACTGGATTTTAAGGTCACACCCTCAAGCAGGTCTGCACCTCTGGCCCCAGTCAGAACAGTAACACACAACAAATGGACCCCGGAAACTTCCCTTGAGTGATTGCCACCTAGGTAAGACCACCACTGTGACGTTTGGCACTATTTTTCCTCCCTCTGATTGACTTCCAGTCTGGGCTCTATCTCTAATACTGTATCTCTCCATGTTTTCCTCTTGCTCATAGGGTTTTCAGAGACCTGCTCTTTAAGGAGTGTCTGGCCAATCCTGCCTCCTAGTTTACTCTTAATTGGGAAGCTCTACTAACAGCTGTCCACCATGGGTGACCTTTGTGGCATCCGACACACCGGTGGCATAGCTTTCAGCATCACAGCAACCCACAAGTTATCTCAATATAGCGAACTTACAGTCAAGAGCTGCACCAGTGAAAACAATTAATTCTCCCAATACAATAAGCTGACAGATTAGTGTTGTGCCTCTAATAGCTAATCAGGCATACAAATATCACGTTACCAGCCTGTAGAGATGTGACAAGATGGGAGAATGTTACAGCATTCCAGCTGAGACTCACTCCTGGCATGTTGGGGTAATATCCCAGACGCGGACATAAAGGTCACACCAGTCTCTGCTGAATATTTGATGTTCTTGTTTCATGTAAGGCCTGTTAAAAAAGGCTTAACTTTTGGATTGAAGCAGCTTTAAATAAGAGGTCCCAGACACTAAGGTGCTGCTGGTTAAAAAAGCCTGACTTCTGGGTTGCAGCTGCTTTAAATAAAAGATCCCAGCCACTAAAGGCCTATTGATTCAAAACATCTGACTTCCAGA